ATAACCTGGCTATAGCATTTTGGAGATTCCACTGAAGATTCTGAACATTTTCCGATGGTAGCTTTCATCCTTCCCTGAAAAGGCACTGGTGTTGCTTTGGATTTTGGTCTTGGCCAGGCCTCAGTGCCTGGCTCTGATGGATCCTCAGAGTTCACCTGTGCCAGCAGCCTACACCAGTTCCATTGGCTGCTGATCCGTTTCTGGGTTGAATTCAAGGTATTGGTTCTCACCTCTAAAGCCCTAAATGGCTTAGGCCCTAGCTATTGCCAGGACCGCACCTGCCTTTATGAGCCTTTATTAAGGTCATCAGGAGGGGACTTTCTCTTGGTCCCACCACCTTCACACATGTGTTTGGGGGAGGACACAGAAGAGGTTGCTGCACCCAGATTTTGGAACTCTCTCTCACAAGAGGCCAGACTGGCCCCATCTTTGCTGCCCTTCCGGAAGCAGGCAAAGACCTTTCTCTTCAGGCAAGCTTTCTCTTAGTGACTGGCTACCTGGGTGGGTTTTTCTTTTTAATGGATTGTTGTGCCTTACGGCTTTGATTTTGTTATTGCTGCTGCTTATGCTTTGTGTATGGTGTTTGTTTGATCCTTTTTAGTATTTGTACAAACCCTGTTGTCAGCTTTTATATTGCCTTTTAATCATGTAAGCTGCTTTGTGTACTTTTAAGGAGAAAGACGAGGTAAAAAACATTTTAAATGTAGGAATGCCTGGCTCTGAAGAAGGACCTCTCAGGCAGCAGGAGAATTTGGGCCACTGCTCATTGGGGGCCTTACTACACATTGAAGCTGCATGCACTGACTCTGTGAGGTGTCTGGTTCATTTCGGGATGTCTCTTGGCTTAATTACAGCTGTTTCTTCCCCTCTACTCTTGAGTTCTCTCTCTTTGGTCTCCTCAACAGTTTCATATAGAACTGCCCAACATTTCACATCTCTCATCTCTTTGAATACATTACCTCCCTGTTCCTCCCCAATTTCTGTACTAGCTTTGCTATGTCCTTGGATCTAGCATAAACTTCTTGTTCTCATTTTCAAAGTCCTCTGTAGCCTTGCCCTCGTTATCTTTCTGTCCCATACTCCAATATTAAATCCTTGTCTGAAACCTTCACTCCTCCAGCACCATTCCCTTCAGTTGTTGAAATGTCTCTTGCCTTTTGGACAACCTTGTACTTTCTCATTCACTTTCTGAAACTTCCTCCCAGAAAACTATTTCATGTGGTGCCATGTACATATTTCAGATTCTTCCCCCACATGATCTATTGCAGGGGTGGATGAACTTTAACAATTCCTTTCCTTTTCAGAAGCACCCAAACCACTTATTAGTGCTGGATGCAAAAAAACACACCCAAGATATCCCAGATGCAGGAATTAAAGTTTCAAAAAGAAGCACTTAAATTTCATAATCTTTCCACACAAAAATCCATGTCAGGTTACTCAAGACTCTCTTCATCACAGCAGCTTAGCAGGAGAGAATTTTTTTTTGCTACTGTTAAAGAACTGGGAGTTGTTGTTTTAAAAAAACAACAACAACAAACACACACAACTATTGCCAATCTGCATAAGATCAACCAGAAGTCTATCAGTACAATCCGATTTGCCTTTTTATCCCTTTGCTTTAAGTAAGCCCAAGCATGTATAACTGATATCCATACATACCCTATTTTGTTTGTTTGCTATACAGTATTTATATCTGGCTTTTTCACCACTGAGTTCAAGGCAGTATATATGTTTCTCTTTCCACTGCTCTATAATGTTTATTAGCTGATAGGCATGCGCATGTACAGAGACAGGGAAGCCAGGCAGCTGTCTCTAATGATGGTGGCAGCAGAGGACGAAGCAGCAGGATCAGTAAGGGAAGCGATGGGGGGCAGCGGGAAGGGCTTAGGCGAAAATGAAGCGCCATAGATAAAAGTTCATCATTTTGTTTCAGCAAAACAGGACCCACGAATCAAACAACTCTAATTTGTGTGTGTGTGTGTTGGTTCATAGTTCAGGTCATGTCCATCTCTACTAGGGACTTGAAATTGCATTTCTAATGTTCAAACCATCATTCCATCATCCTGGTGCTTATTTCTGTATTCATCTCATTCTCTTTCCACTGTTCTTTCACAGATGAAATTTAGATGGTAAGGTCTTGGAAAATGGGGAAATTGAACAAATTATACATTGGGGGTCCAAATGTTACTTTACAGTGAAACCCTCCATGTAACTACTTAGAAATATATCCCTGTGAAGTGGTGACTTCAAAAGTAGCCATTTACCCTGCAGTTTGGGTCAGATTTGGCATGGATGACATCAAATTCAAAACTGATGGCTATCCAGTGTAAAGCTCAATGTGGGGCAGTCCACCAAGGAATTGTCTTTTTCTGTACATCTGACAGGGTGGTTTAATTTTGCTCTTATTTGCATGCACCACTTTTCTCTACTTTCTGTCCTGTATTTGATGCCAAGGGAAGCTTAAGGGTGTGTCAGTTTCCCTCAACCAAGCACCTGTTCTTTCCAAATAGGTTTTAAAAAATTAAACACACAACACTGCAACAGATAGATAAATGCTAAGTCCCTTCAAAATATAAGAATAAAATTAAAATGAGGCAAAGAAAAAGGACGGTCCCAGTGGAAATTGCCCGTCAGCACTCATTTAATCAGAAGCAACTGCTGCTGTTGGAGCTCCAGGCAAAATAAATCAATCAAGAAATCAACGAATCAATCACAGCTTACTCTACTTCTGCTAGCTCCTGCAACACAATGATTGTTTGTATTTGTCCAAATGGTTATGGTGATTTCACCCACTGGAACCAGCAGGAATCCAATTAGAAAAACTTTAGGTCAAAGTGGATTTCCCTCATTGCACAGTTGCACCCTGAATTCAGTAGAATGCACTTTCAAGTAAATGGATATAAGGTAGCAAGCTAATAGTTTAACCAAGGTTTAGCATGAAACAAAACAGGTGTGTGTGAACTGCGGATTCATTTCTGGTCCTCCAAGTCAGTTCTTATCCAATGGAGATGTTTTACTGACAGATTGCATTTTAGTCTCATTTATTTGAAAAAGACTTGGAGAAGAAGGAACAGCATGACTTGTTGCAGACATACCATTAGAATAAACTTGCTTTCATACAGAGTTGTCCTGCACAATTAACCTCCAATACATATATATTTGATCTCTAAAATATATGGGTATTCATAACTTTTGAACTATTACAGAATTTACAGTTTAATAATGTATCGAATCTGAAATTATTGGCAGTATAAATATTGCGTGTTTATTTTATAGTTTCTGTATATTTTAACTGTATTATTTTTATGTGCTGTCAAGTCACCCCCTAACTTATGGCAACACCATGAATGAGTGATATCCAAAATGTTCTGTCCTCAACAGCCCTGCTCAATTCCTGTAAACTCAAGCCTGTGCGTTTCTTTAGAGTCAGTCCATCTCATATGTAATTGGCCTAACTCCTTTCCTCCTGCCTTCCACCTTTCCCAGCATTATTGCCTCTTCCAGAGAATCCTGTCTTCTTATGATGTGTCCAAAGTAGAATAATCTCAGTTTCAACATTTTTGCCTCCAGAGATAGTTCAGGCTTGATTTGATCATCTTTCTGGCAGTCCACATGCACTGGATTATGGAGAAAGCCAGAGTGTTCCAGAAAAAGATGTACTTCTGGTTCATTGACTATGCAAAAGCCTTTGACTGTGTGAACCACAGCAAACTATGGCAAGTCCTTGAAGAAATGGGAGTGCTTGACCACCTTATTTATCTCCTGAGAAACCTATACCTGAGACACGAAGCAACAGTTAAAACTGGATATGGAACAACTGATTGGTTCAAAATTGGGAAAGGAGTACGACAAGGCTGTATATTGTCCCCTGGCTTACTTAATTGATATGCAGAATACATCATGCGGAAGGCTGGACTGGAGGAATCCCTAGCCGGAATTAAGATTGCCGGAAGAAATATCAACAACATCTGATATGCAGATGACACCACTCTTAAAAAGCAGAGACATCACCTTGCAGACAAAAGTCTGCATAGTCAAAGCTATGGTTTTTCCTGTAGTGATGTACGGAAGTGAGAGCTGGACTATAAAGAAAGCTGACCGCTGAAGTATTGATGCCTTTGAATTGTGGTGCTGGAGGAGACTCTTGAGAGTCCCCTGGACTGCAAGGAGAACATTCTAAAGGAAATCAACCCTGAGTGCTCACTGGAAGGACAGATCCTGAAGCTGAGGCTCCAGTACTTTGGCCATCTCATGAGAAGAGAACACTCCTTGGAAAAGACCCTGACTTTGGGAATGAGTGAAGGCAAGAGAAGAGGACGACAGAAGATGAAATAGTTGGACAATGTCATCGAAGCTACCAACATGACTTTGACCAAACTCTGGGAGGCAGTGGAAGACAGGAGGGCCTGGTGTGCTCTAGTCCATGGGGTCACGGACACGACTAAACAACAAGGAAGGCCAATGAGAGGTTCTCTTACAAATTTCTAATTTATTATGTCGCCATAACTCAGAAGTGATTTGATGGCATAACAACAAACTATGGATTGCAACCTGTCTCTGTTCTTGCAACCTGTCTCTGAAGTTTTAAAAAAAGAACATGGGAAATCATGCTCGCCTCTCCCACTATTTGGACCCAGCTTCGTCAGAGTGAACCCCCGTCCAGAGTGTTTGACTACAACTCCCATTATTCCCAATCAGCAGAGCCATTTGGCAAGCAGAGCTGGAGTGATTCGTCACCCCCGGGCCCCTTCCCCGCTGGCAAGGCAGCCCTCAAAATCCCCGCGCGGCGCACAGGGGGCGCCCCAGCTGGCAGAGAAACCGCCTTTTTTTTTGGCACCGCCTCCCCTTCTCCGCCCCTCAGTATATCCGGGTCTCAGAGGCCGGGGGTGGCCCTTGGGCTTCGGCGCCTCCCCTTTCTTCTGCCCATTCAGGCACCCAGGCGGGCGAGGCTGCAGTTGGGGCTCCGGCGGGAGCGTCTCGGGTGCGTAGGACCCGCTTGCGCTGACAGCTGCGGGCGGAAGTCCGCGTCACTCGAAGGACGAGGAGGCAGCGCGTCCCACTTCTCCAGGGGAGGGGGTGCGCGAGGGCCAGGGAGGGCGACGCGTTGGGCATCACCGTTTGGGTACCTATCATCTCCCTGCTGCACCTGGGGCTCATCGCTCCGCAGCCCGCGCGGGGGCTACGCCTGTGCGCGCGCGCGGGTGGCTCCCCTAGGCTTTGCCAGGCGACCTCCCGGGTGCCGGTTGTGGCTCTTTGGATAGTAACGAGGCTGTCTCTTAGCTCTCTTTCATAGTTCCATAATCGTTTGGTTTCGGGACTCGCTGAAGTTACCTACTGTAATTGTCGTTCCTCTCTCTATCTAGGTCGGGCTTTCTCGTGGCCCACTTCTTCAGCAGCAGGGGTGCCGGGGAGACATTGAAGCACCCTTTCTCCTAACCTGAATGGAAAGCCACTGACTTGGCAGTAAAGGCAAGGAAGACTCCTGTAGCAGGGTAAAGGTGAGCGGATTTATGGTGGGCTAAGTGGACTCTAGTCTGGGTTAACTGATAGGGCGATTAAATGCGGTACAGAGCCGCAGCAGGGTGCAGGCGTGCTTTAATGCAGCTCCCTTTAATTTCAGTGGAGATTAGCCGGTTGCCTTTAAAATGCCACAGGGTGCTTTGGCATCTCTGCTGCCAGTGCCAAAAAAGATCCTAATGTGATTGGCCTTCTGGAAATAGTTGTCTGGAATTGCTTTTTTTTCTAGAAGGTGTATTAAGTATATCAATTCTTTATGTTTTTGTTACCCTGTCAACAATCACAATGTTCACCAAGTAGTCATAGGTTTACATGAGCTAAATCTTACTTTCTGAAAGTTTGATACCTTTGTTCAGAAGCCGTCCTACCTATTTCCCTGTAGTTTACTTACTAAGATGTCTCTACAATGTTGTGTAGTTACCAAGTTTGAACCTATGCATGTGTACTCTCAGTAATTAACCTCACTGTTAGCTTCCAGGTAAGTGTGTATGTAAAACTTCAATCCTAGTTTACAGATTGCCCTCTAATCTAATCTTTACTGAGAAGTAATCCACTTTTTCATTAACTAAAGAGGAATGGAGGCAGGGAGATCATAGTTTGCCCATGAAGTTTAGTATAGGTAGAAGCATGTGACTCCATCTATGTTCCCAATCATCAAACACATAAACTTCCATAATGTATGTAAAATTGCCACATAGAAATGTCACATTTGAGGGGGTTCCCCCCCCCGTCTTAGACAGCTTGGTTAGGTGACCCTCTTTTTCACCCCTTTCTAACCATCTATTTATTTCTAGATCTGCAGTCTGCTATATCTCAAAGGCTCAGGACAGGTAACACAGGCCGTTAGAACACAGATTGCCTTCCAGCTCTGACAGTGACAAGACTCTTGGGAAGTGTGTCAGGAGTAAATCTTCTTCTTTCTGCTGTCACCATTGCTTGTTTCCTTGCCTTCTTCCTCGCAGCCTGATCCATACAGTCAATAAAAGAGAACAAGAGGGGCAAAAGGAAGATGCTATTCTACACCCTCACTTTTGTCCTTGATTTCATAGAAGGCAAGTAGACAGTGACAGTTTGGAGGAGAAATAGGTCCTCTGTAGGAGTGTGATTCTCTCGTTAGGTGCCCAGCCTTTCCTACTCCAGATGCCAACTATGAGCATTGAATTAAATGCACATAACTCCTTATTCAGGTTATGGTCACTAGTTTTACAACTGGAACATTCCTGTCCATTTACCACCTTTACCTCAAAGCTAACCAATAAAGCACACATCTTTAATATGAATCTGAAATAGTTGGTCCATTGTCCTGTAGCAGATGGGGGAGAATAATCATGTATTTACCCTATGGTTGGGAAGAGACAAGCAAAACCTGTTGTAATGATCTTTTAAAAAAATCATATTCCCAATAGTGTCCTATTGTATCATTAAGAGTAAAGGTCAGGGTTCAGAAGAATCAGCCTTCATAATCTGGATTGGTTTCTAACTAGGCACACAAAAAATGTGGAGCTACTGAAACAGTTATCATATGAACACACAACATTCTTGTTTTTATGCAAGCAGGTAGCAAAAACAACCCAGAACCTTTTAATCAAGGCATCTTGTATAACTGGTTTATAAATGGAGCTGCCCATAGCTCTTTAGCCCAGATTATAGAAGAAACTGGAGTTGCACAGGAAGCCATTAAATAGCAATTGCTCTTCTGTTTTGTTTATAATTTCAGAGAAAGAAAGCCATGTCCCATTCTGAAAACAAGAGGCTCATATTTGGCCTAATGGTAGGGGCTGCTGGAATAACGCTAGTCCTGCTTTGGTATCGCAAGACACGGGAATACAGGAAAGCTGTACATTTACCCATGTACCTGAATTCAGAAAAGAGTTTTGATTTAATAGATTCCTCATATGATACTCATAGTGAACAAGGAACAGTGATGCTTTTACAAAGAAGACAGCTTCAGATACTGGAGAAACTGAATGGTTTGCTGGTAAGTGTGGATCAACTTAAAACAGAGGTGAAATTTCTGAAAGAGGCTATTCCAAAGTTGGAAGAAATTGTTCGAGATGAACTCCAGGGGAAGACGGATACCCGAAGGACCAGCCCTTTACACAGAGCAACAAAGAAGAGGAAGGTTGAGGAGACTCAAGGTGTGTCAGACACCACCAGTTCTGAAGAGGCCGAAAGTGAAGGCGGGTGGGTATTTTTATTTTTAATTTATTTTACCCAAATCTTCAGTAAAAATATATTACAGATACATTACAACAATTGTAAATGGCTTGCTTGCAGTGTGCAAAACCCAGTAATTTCATGGGTATAAGCATTCAGAAAACTCTGAATCCTTAAGATAGGAAGAGTCCTTGGTTTAAGTGCTTCTAAGTGTTTTTTTCTGGAAATAACACTAACCTTTGCCTTTGTGCTAGCTTATCCTTGATCTTCTCTGGCACAATTGTCAAAACAAGCTCAGAAGTTTTTCCTTTCATTTTCAACTAAGAGTATATTATTTTACCCATGTCAGAATAGATTGTTGTTGAATTTAATTGGCTTACCCAAATATGCTGACTCCAAACTAGTTTATCACTCTGCCTGTTCAGGTAATAATAATTATCATCATGAGCCACCAGGTCAAGTCTTACTTATGCTGACTCTTTCCAGAGTTTTCTAGATGTAGAGTACTCAAACATGGTTTACCATTCCCTTCTTCTGGAGGCATCCTGGGATGGTGCAACTTGCCCAGGGCTACACAGGCTGGCTCTTCTCCATGGAGACATACTGGGGAATCAAACTCCCAATGTTTGGCTTTGTAATCAGATCCCCAAACCACTGAGCTATTCAGCCAGCTCTTTGTTCAGATAAACCTCAGTTAAATGGAACTGCAATTCCTGATTCGAACAAATTAACAAGACTGTTGTTGAATACAGAGGCAAATACTTTTTGTAACTGTTGCAGGTGTGTCAAAGCTGAGAAGAGAGAAGTTAAGTTTTACATGGGATGGCTGATGAAATGAGGAATGGCTTGCCCCACCCCCCACTTTGGGGATAGTGTCTCACTCTTGTGATCATGACCCAGGCTGTGGGATTAGGACAGTTAATGTTGGGAATAAATTGCAAAGCCTATAATCTGAAAACACTACTGTTTTCAGATTTTAAAATATTCTTGGAAAGACAGGTGAGAAGTGGTATGCCTGTGAAGAGCTGCAATGATTAGGTCTAAGCATCTAGAATTCACTCTGGTTTTTGTATGATTAATCTTCACGTGGACCATGCTAGTTTTACTTTTTGGTTGCCTCAAGCCCAGAATTTTGGCGTTTGCAACAGAATAAACTTTGTGTTTCTGAATCTCTCTGTATCTCAAGAGTAATTTATAGCAGATACACAACTCCCTGTGTAAAACCTATCTCTTCTAGTGTCGGCACCTCTGCCAATAAAGTTTTATCTATGCTTATCTCTCTTCATCCTATATCACTTTTCAGTGGTGATTCTGCATGCAACTGGTTTAGTTAGGTATTTGTACCTTGACTGAAAGCTGAATACAAAATAGGATGTTGTGCATGTGCCAGGAATCCTAGCCAACATGAATGTAATAGCAAAATATACATGTGGCTGTCATATGGGGACCACTGTATGTACAAGGCTTTGCTAGTGCACTGGGTATTATGTATTTGAAATGTATATGACCTGTCTTTTTAAAAAAAACACCAAGGTGTCTTCCAGTGCTTAGCTTAAAGAGTATTAAGACATTAACAGGACAAAATGCAATTTAAAAAATGAGCAGCCAGCTTTATTGGTTTTCCAGAGGTAGGAGAGAACAGTATGTAGACCTTAAACTGTTCTTTTTAGTTGCCATTGAAACTATTTCATGTGTGGAGACTCTGCAGACCCCCAGATGTTACATAAATACTCTGAGCATTTCAAGCCATTGGAAGATGAAGTTCAACATGATCTGGAGGGCTGTGCTTTCTCTCTCTGCATTATTTACATGGTTGTCTTATGTTCTTGCTAATCTTTGTGTTATAACCAGACTAGTAATTCGACCCCATTTGTCAAGATTATTTATTCTGGATGACTTTCCTGGATCTTCTTTAAAATAAGTGGTTTAAAGATTTCAGTATGAAATTGTTATTGGCAATGTATGGCTGCCAAACAGATTTCTTTGTAATACAATGTTGTGTTTTCTTTCCCCATTGCTGCCAGTTGCATCAATGTTGCATTCTGTTCCAGTTTCACAGGTGCAGCACTCTTTATGTTTGTTTTACAAGTATCTTTTAGGGCTGTCCAATACTCTGGCTGGATTTACAGTATGTTGGTGTTCACATAATCTCTGTGTAAGCTGCCGCCGCTAACTGCAGCTAGTCGACAAGGCGCTGGGGTACCTCTCAGTTGCATAGTTGGGTGCATGATCAGGCAGATGAAAAGTGTTCCTTGGCATCTCATCAGTTAGCCACAGTTAGCCATGGGAAGTTATGTAAACCTTATGTGAACACTGCTAGGGTGATCACTGTATGGACTTATTCAAATGTGTTTGGTGTATGTGGGAATCTGTAGATCTGCTGCAACAGATCTTCCCAGCAAAGAATTTTATTCGAGCAAGATATACTTCAAAACTCTATAAATAAAGCTGAAACTATGTTGCCACATCTATAAGCCCTAGACAGCAAAGACCAGAGCAATCATGGGAGATGTAATCCAACATATTAGGAGGTTCACATGTCATTCATTCTTGCTTGATTTCATTGTTTTTATATGTCTTTAATGCATCAAATTGTTTGAGTAGAATAATTCCAGTGACTGACCACTAGAGAGCGGTCATATGAAAGTTACAGCTTTTTGCCTTTTGCACAGGAAGAATAAATCAGGTGAGGTAGAAGTTGCCTGGTAGCATAAATCAGCGCCCATCGTCGTCACCTGCAGCTCCTTCAGACTTTTCTCCTTTCTTACTGTTTTCTTGGCAGTTTTCAGACTTTAGGAGGGTCTGCCACACATGTGTAGAGGAGAATCAAGCCGAATGCTGGGTTGTGGATCTAGCCGGCTTGGCCCTAACTGCCCTCTTTGCATGTGCAACTAGCGTTTTTGTTCCTTTCTTTGAAAACTAAGCACTGAGGAAAAAAATGTTGTGTCTGACAGTTTGTGTCTGTCACAGATTTTCACATGGCCAGAAGTGTTTCATCTAGTATGTAACGAAAAAGCAAATCTTAAATTGCAAGCTTTTAATATGATTTTTTTAAAAAACAAAGTGTGCTGCTTATACAGTGGTACTTTTAATATGATTAAAAAAAAACAAAAAACAAAGCGTGCTGCTTATATACTACTCCATAGTGCTCTCTGGGTGGTTTACAAGTTAATTTTGTAAGCTACACATCCCCCCCCCCCCCGGAGGGGGGGACTAACTTTTTTAAACACAACAGAAAA